CCAACAGCAGGTTTTCGGGGCGGAGCTCAGTCACGGCGGCGCCCTGCTTCTCCAGGAGCTCCAAGGCTGCGCTCAGCTGCAGTACGGTGAAGGCCACGGCCCACACAAGCTTCTCTGACCGCCGCACACCCAACTCTGCCAGCCACTGGGCCACTGTGCGCTCAGGCACCTCGACGGCCAGCACCACCCGACCAGTCCAGGGTGCTCCAGCCAGTGCGCCCTCCGGCATTAGGCCACACAATCCCTGAACATTGTAATGCGGGGGCAGGGAAGCCTGGAGCTCCAGGCTCCACTCCCGGGGCATCTCTGCTCCAGGCTTGGGCACCTGTGGGACACAGGGATATGTCACACAGACACAACCGGACCCACACAGCCCACCCCCAGCCCACCCCACCAGGTCCGAGGAAGCAGAGGCTCCGTGTTGATTTGGTGTGGTTCCTAGTGAGAACCAAGGAAAATTAAAGGGGAGGATGGATGCGAGAGTGGCACATACCACTTTTGAGGCTGAGGCAGGAGGATCGCCGTAAGTTTGAGGCCATCCTGAGTTACGTAGTGACTTTATGGGGCCAGGAATTTAGCTCAGTGGTTTCGCCCCCTGCCTGAGTTTGATCCCCAGTCCAAAAAAAAAAAAAAAAAATTCAAGGCCAGCCTGAAGTACATAGTCATAGTGAGACCCTGCAGAAAAAATGGGGCCAGGGATTTAGCTCAGCAGTGCTGTCTCCTGCCTCAGAAAAACACAAGGTCTGGAGTTCCATCCCTGTTGTACTCTCAAAAAAAAAAAAAAAATTTTTAATTAATTAAATAAATAAAAGCGGGGAAGTAAAATAAAAGGAGGAGAATGGTTGGTGGTGGCCAGGGGTCAAGGGGGGGCAGTTCTTAGAGACCCCTGGGTAAAGAGGGAGGTGTCACCTAAGGCCCTAGAGCTGGGCTGTCAAGGACAAACAGGTCATCCCAAGGATGGTCCCACTGGGTTCAAGGCCAGCCTGGGCTACATAAATTCAAAGCCAGCCTGAAGTACACAGAGAGACCCTGTCTCAGCGGCGGCGGGTGGTGGAGGTGCGGGCTCACCTTGGCCGCCAGCATGTGCCACGCGTCTTCGCCCATGCGCACCACGCGGTAGTAGAGGGCGTCTTCGCTCTCTGCGCAGGGTGTGCGCTCCAGCAGGCGGAAGCCGTGGCCGGCACTGCAGGGTCCAGGGCGGCCGCCCGTGAGCCGTGCA